CCTGCAATCTCCTGCCCCACGGAGATTCCAGTTTCCGTCATCGAGGGGGTGAGCCAGCACCGCCTGAGGCCAATCGCCCCAGAGTGAACCCTCATCAGCCGGTACCCATCCGACAACCAAAGCTGCCCGACGCCAATCGCATCCAATGAAAGTTCGCGTAGCCGGTACCCCTCAGACAGCCCCGATGCACCCTCTCTCCGTCCTCACAAAAATCATCTCGTGCCCTTTGCCCTCCATCTTGGACCGATCCCCAAACTCAACAGAACCTCCCCATATGAATTCACGATATGATTCCCGAAATTTCAGAAGCGGGTTTTAGTCAATTCTTGAGACCACGTGCCGTTAGGACTTTCGACCACACTCTGAAATTCTCAGTTGACAAAAACTAAGATCCCTGAAGTCACTAAGACTTATTACCAGTACCAGTAAACCAGACTTACGATTGTGTAGAGTCAGAAGTTTTTTGGCAACTTTTATAGGAAAATTATTTCACGAATTTTTATAAGAGCTTTTATAGGAAAATATTTCAAGAATCAGAAGTTAGTTTGGAAGCTTTTCGGAAAAACATTTCAAGTTATAGAGTCAGAAGTTTTAAGATGCTTTTATAAAGGAATAGTTCAAAAATATTTTTAGAAGCTTTTATAGGAAATTATTCCGAGAATCAGAAGTTTTTGGAGACTTTAATAGGAAATTATTTCGAGAATATTGGAAGAATAGTTTTGAATAGTTTTGAAGATAACCTAATCATATCCCATTAGACAAAATCAGAAAATATCACGAGAACAAGGAAATCCACGAAGAGTAACATATAAGGACAATTATCTCGCCAAAGCAATCAAGGCCAAAACCAGGAACAAAAAGCAAATCATCAGATCAGGATTTGAATTAGGGATTTGCGAATTAGAACGTGGAGTATATAAAAAAGCAATCAAAACTAGTACAACTCCACCCATCTTAGCTAGGACTCTCAAGGCAGCGGAGAATCTATCAGATACCTCTCCGACCCATGAAATCTTCTAAACACACCATGTCACGTTCTCCATCCCCCCCAACCTCCACCTCCTCCTTCATCAGCTCTCAAGCAACTCAGCCGCCTCGCAGTCTGCACCTCCCGCAGCCTTCTTCATATGGCTGAATGATGAAGCTTTACGGACCGTGGCATAAACTTACCTTCGCGATCAGCCACGTAGCAAGGCACAAACCACCGAACCCGTCGATGGCCTCTCACTGGCAGTCCGGTGGGAAGAAGAACACCCATGGTGAAAGCATCTGATAGCCAGGGATCTTTCTCCTTCAACAACACTTCGTCGCGCAGCAAAGTCCGGTGGTTGCCATCTCCAAAAATCCACCCCCAGATCCGCCCCCAGAGACTCACCCTCCTCCCTCCACACCCCACTCTGCACTCCCCCCACACCACCCCACGTTACCATCGCCGATAACAGAGCCGATACAAACCAGCTCAGAGACGCCAGCTCAGAGACGACAACCGCCGAAACACTACCTTCTTCACCCAAAAAAAATGTACGTACGTTCTATTCGAATTACCTCTGGAAATCGGGTTTTCAGAAGTCGCTTGTTTTTTTTCCCGAATAGAACATACGTTCCAATATAACGTACATACATTTTGTTCGAATACAACGTGTGTGTGTTGTATTCGATTTTTTGCAATTTTGATTTTTCAAAAATAATCAAAAAAATGTTTAAAAATCCATAAAAAAAAATGTTGTACAACAATGCAATACGAACAACTTTTGCCTGAGGGTCTTGTCGAAATTCACAAGCAAATTAGAGAAAAAAAAAAAACGAGGATGAAAATAATAAAATATTTTTTACCTAGGCTACCAGCCGGGCCACCCGGGTCACTCTATTTTCCTGGGCGGTTCGGCCGTGCAAGGACTAGGGAGGTCCCAGCCCAAAAAAAAAAAAAAAAAAAAAACTAAAACATCCAAGAAAAAAGCTATGTTATGCAGAAAAATAAGCTGAACAACTTTTGCCTGAGGGTCACATCAAAATTCTTTACCAAATTTAAAATAAAATTTAAAATTTAAAGATATTTTTTATTTTCTATTTTTTTTTTATTTCTTTTTGGGCAAGTGGACCCGGGTCACTCTGGTAGCCTAGTTTTTTATTGACTTTTTCAGAATTTCGATTTAAAAAAAACATTAAAAGATCCGGAAAAAAAGTATGTTGTACAAAATTGCAATGCAAACAACTTTTGCCTGAGGGTCTTGGCGGAAATTCCCAACCAAATTTGAGATAAAAATTACAAGAACGGAGGTACTACAGGCTTCTGAAAAGTTGTACCCTAAAACTTGTTCTATAACGTACATACGTTGCATTCGAACACATTCATCATGCCTGGCCGTAAAAGCGGTCGGACACATTCAGGAAGCCCTCGTGTGAGTATCATGGCCTTAGAAGGAACTCTAGGGAGCAATAGGGGATGCATTTGGACAGTTCTGACGACGGGGTAGGCAGCTATTGTTCCAAAGGAATCAGAACCCAAGGCTTGACAGGAGCCACAGTCGTGACTACCGCCTTCCCCCGAACACAAGGCACCCTCATCATGATTGTATGGGACCAGAAAGATGTAAAAGGGCCTTTACAAATCAGACCCCAAATGGATGCCCCAACAGCAAGGGACCCTGTCGGCCAGAACTTCAATTCACGAACAGCAACTCAAAAGACAAGTTCCTGAGGTAAATGTCGCATCCATATTGAAGTGAAAAGTCATTTTGAAAGGTCACAAACAGGTCCTGAACGAACAGGTATTGGACACAATTTTCAAGACTGAGTTAGGGTCATGTCTCCTCGATGAAAAGTCATGTCTGTTCATCGATAAGTCAAAGGCTACAGTCCCAGTCCAGTCATAATTCCACGAGTCAGTCCTGATTGAGACCGGGAGTCTAAAAAACAGGCCCGATGGCCCAAAACAGCAGCAGACCATGGGAAAAGATACTGGGACACACACTTTGCAACCATCGGTACTGGGCAGGAGTCCCAGGCCCACTTGAGGCTGAATGCAGGCCACGCCAGACCAGTCCAGCACTATAAAGGACTGGCCAGCCTCCCATTCGGACAGATGCTCACTTCGCATGAGAGTGTGGAAGTGCTGTGGCACTTGTGCGCTGGATGTGTGTGAGCTGCGCTAGGCTGAAGAGCAGCACTATGTGGGAAGGAAGAGAGTGCTGGCTAGAGGGAAGGCAGTCATAGCTGCACCAGCGCTAGTTAGTATATTAGTAGGGATAGTCAGTAGGAGATACCAGTGAGTAGTATTCATAGTAGATCCTCGTGTGATAGGGAGTGTGCATGCATGACGAGTGAGGGTAGACCAGGACTATAGACATAGAGGGAGAGAGAGAGAAGAAGGCAGACGAAAGAGGGGGAAGTGTGAGCTATGGTGACACTTACCTGTTGAGCGCTGATCTTGACATCTGGCAGCTGGTGCTGATGAGCGCCAGGCTTGGAACTCATGTTGATTGAAGAAGACTTGTAATCTCTGATTCAGCGCTGTACGCTTTGAATTCACGATGTTCTCTCTCTGATTCTGGGGTTGATAAATGAGTTGATCTTCCTGGTTCTCATTCATCTTCTATTGGGTTTTGTGTGAGACTTCGCAAACTGAGGAATCAGTGTATGCGCATGTGATTTGATGCACTCCAGCAAGTGATGAACAGTCAGGTTCCTTGCAGATGGCTCATATGCATTCAGAATGAGGGTGTGTTGTGTCTGGGGGGCAAGATGATAGCGTCAAACCTGCAATGGAAGCTAGGCGAGCTCATCCTTTCGAAAATTTTAACAGGTTTTCACAGTCTGACAATCAAGAATTAACAGCTCGTCAAAGGGCTTGGAGCATGAACCCAGGGGTTGACAAAGAGCATACTCACACTAGGACTTGCCTGGATGTACCTGACCGAAATGTCAGCTTCTCCTGCATGCATCTGGCCACAATTACGTACAGGGCTGAGTGGAAAACGCCATAGTGTGAGTGTCGTAAGGCTGTCAGCCCCCATGTGGCATCAGACCCGTTCCTGCAGGCAGGGCCAGGGTTATGTGCCCACCCAACAAGCCCCAGCAAAACCATGGCTGGCCTGAGGGTCATAGTGTCAGTCCAATGTTGTTTGCTAAGGCTATGAGCCTCCATGTGACAAGAGAAGCATTCCTCCAAACAGGACCAGGTTTATCTTCTTATGTGTCCCAGCGAATTATAGCGAATCGACTGCTTGCCCAAGGCTCACAGTATGAACCGACTGCTTGCCTAAGGCGGCAAGCCCTCATGCGACAACAGAAGCCTTACTGCAAAATGAACACAGCCATTCTCCACCTGAGCCAAAGCAAACCAACCTTCTGGGTAGGAAAGCAGACCGGCATACCATGATGGAAGAGAGGGTAGTGGAGCACCACCACAAAACATAAATCGTCTAAGAAACAACACATGTGAGATGATGTGGCCCATTCGACCGAACATTATCCCACCAATGGGCAGTGAAACCTCTGGCAGGCTTATACCTGCTACACCCACTGGGCGGTAATTAAAGCAGCGGTGTTTCGGAGCCTTGTTTGTCCAATCGGCCTCTTTGCCTGGCCCTAAGAAATCCCAACTGTTGCTGCACACGATCCAAGTATCATTGCCACCCTTTTCCCAACTGGCATTGTGACCATTTTTGTGCGGTTCCATGTTAATGGGTGAGTTTTATTTTTAAGGATGGCCAATTCACTGGTGGTTTGACAAATGTCCGCCTTCATGTTCCATCATAGTGAACTTGACATTCGCCATGCAAGTGATTCAGGAGCTCCAATTGAAAGGGTGATTGAGTTTAATAACTTGAATTTTATTTAGCTCATCATTGTCGAAGTTCGTTTGATATCAATGCAAAATTGCAAATCTTTTTTTTTTTTTTTTTTTTTTAAAGTTTAAACAAAATTGCTCAGATCTATTCGTGGGGAGCCGCACTTGCAAATCCGAGTTTTTCGCTCACATTTTGTATCTATCACCACAGGTATGCGAAACTGGAGCAGTCAAAACGTGGGGGAGCTCCAGAATCTCAGAAGATTAGGCGTGGCAGTGTTTCATCAAGTGAGTTGCTTTTCTGGGTGCTTTGAACAATCTAGAAGATTGA